CCTTTCCAATGGAGCGAAGACCTAGACTTAGCTCTAGACAAGAGATTCAGATGGAGCCTACGTTTTGCCCGTTCTGTGGGTGAATGCAGCCCTCTCACTGAAAGATTTGATGATTTCGGTTTTGTCAGTATATTCTATACTATAATATTATAAAGTGCTATGTCTTGGTATGCTTTGTAATGCTGTGAATTTATTGAGTTATGGCAAACGCTCTATTACACTCTATTATTTCAAACACTCAATTCCACCGTATTGATGCTGTTAAAAGAAAGAAGAATTAGAGGGCGTGGCTCAGATGTACGCTGCTTAAAAAATACACAAGTGCCTTAATACTCGAGTAACGTTGTGTATTTGGATCCTTGTTAGCGACCATGAGAAGATGTACTAGACTACCACCTTGGCCCAAACCAACTCAACCCAATCTCAGTACATCAGTACATATTTTCTTCCTTGACAGGTCTCTAGTCGGTCTCGTACATCCCACGATGATATTGTGGGACTTGCCCGGGCAACATCTCAAGACGACAGTGTGTCCGACTCTTACAGAGACCTTCCTCCGTCATACCGTGACGTCATTAGCGGAACATCAGCCTACCCAGTGGTCCATACAGGCGGTCCTTCCTCGTTGACTACGCCTAGTCTTCCAGATCCTCCTGCTAGCCAGCTCCGTCCCCCCAGCCCGCGATGTCTCACCCGCGATGTCCCATAAACCCCCCCCCCTGCGTTAGGAAACACGCTCGATCGATAACCACCCAACCGATGAACTCCCCTCATATCTAGTGTTGTAGATATGGCATACCACCCAGTAACAACAGAGAACTCTTTGGCTCTTTTTGCTTGGCTTTGATCGTAATTCTAACACCAAACATCTTGCATAATAGTGATTTTTAAATGGTTGGGTATGACATTTTGCTACAGTAAAATCCAACTCAAAACAGTTAGTAATGATGTAGATTTACAAAATTAAAAGTGGATGTGGGAATAAAACACACAAAAGGCAGATGAAAGCGATTGGAATATTTGTAAAAAGGGGTTTATAACAGGATTTTCATCATTAACAATGAAACCGATTTACCTGCTAAAAGGCGTTTCTGTATTTCAGTGACAAAAAAGATACAGTTGTTATATATTGAAACAAATATGTGCAAAGAAGCCTTAAGGCACCTTTTTGTATGTACGTTGTTTGGGTGTGTTACGTACACCATGCGTTTTACTTTCACGGACACACAAATCGCGTGTGCGTTACATTTGGCCATCAAAATCGGCCTGGGAGCGATTTTGACGGATACGCAACGCTTGGTGCAAGTGTTGACACGCATATGGAAATACGCCTTAAAACTTGTGTGTGCGTGCACTTTGATCCATTTTGTACCATTCTGGTACATATTGTAAGAGGATTTTCAGTTACGAGACTTTTGACGGTCAGCTTTCAATTTACACAGATGTGCGCAGAAACACACGCGCATTCGAAGTCTTTGAACATTCTGGCGTACGTGAAACTGCCAATAGAAATATACAGATGCGAAAATGCACGCGCCTCCACGGACATGGTATACTTCCTGAAATGCCTTTGGCCGTCATGTTACGTCACGTGATAAACCTCTACTGAGGTTTTCGTATTGTCGACACTGTAACACTTCGTAAACTTATACTGACCAGTAATTTTTAAACATGTTTTAATAGGCTAAGACTCTTTGTAGATCTTTAACAATTGATGTGGACATTAAGAATTGAACACGTAATGCCAAACTTCTTATTAAACGTGTTTACGACCTGATGCCCAAATTTTCTCGACCAATACTCAACACTGATTATCTCAGTAGGTCTGTACCGTTGTGGGTGTAATAATTCAGTGCTTCGGGAGTGAAAGACGAAGACAAAAATGTTGAGTTCACAAGAAGTTCGCAATCGAACCGCAGGATCTCTTTGATAATATTGCAAAGAGGCGTGTAAATTCCTGGTATGTAACCCCGGGGCTGTACGTTATGTCATGCTTGAATCACATGTACATCCATGTACACTTGTATTTCCGCGCACCGAAAGGAAGTAAAAAACGTGCTATGCTTTATATTCAATCATTGTGTTCGTTTGGTTTCTTACGGCCTCGCCTTTAAGTCCCAGCCAGATACTATTGCCAGTATAAGAAATATAGACTAAATATGTGCTCAGGTATCCGCCCTGCGCAGAAGCAGCTCGGCCCTCATCGGTTAAAAAGAGCCATGCTGATTGGGAATGTTCATTTTGTTGATAGCGATGACTGCAACACTTTGGTTTCATAGTCGCTCGTGAACCGGCAATGCGCGGTTACTACCAAAGGAGCATCCGTTGCTATGAAAATTGCGCCCAGGCTCTCTTGGTCTAGCTCGGGGCCCATTATACAGCATGGTTTGAGGGGAAGTAGAATTAGGGTGGTCCTGAGGTGCAGATCAGCTTGACTACCTTTCGATGTGAAGCTGATGAAGGTAGTTAAGCTGATATACACTTAAGGATCAGTAATTCCTACTATTTGCCAGAAATAAGTCAGGGGCGTATCTAGCGTATCTAGCTTCTGGTGTTGGTCCAAAATGGTCATGGGCCTACTGACTATTTTGGGGGATGATTTTTCTCTGGAGAAAAATATCTTCAAAAGTCATTGGTTAAGCCACTGAAAATTGAAAGGAAAATGAAAGATGAGGAATTGAGCTTTAATTTGATATGTGTCTTGAACACGTGTGAAACTAGTGAGTATTTTTCCTGAATTTTTAGAAGTGGGGATATTTACTGTTGTCACTGTTGTCTATGGCAACTGATTTACTGGTCTGCACCCCTAATAGAGCAACCCACGAATTAGTCTGGTCCCTTGAACAAATTGTCAAAACATTGCTTTCCATGGGTTGCTAACACTGAAAGGGGCACCAAAATGGGTTTGGCTATTAGAATATTTGGTGGGGATTGAAACCCTCTCGTTTCCTGTAGCGATGGTACAAGATTACATTCAGGAAAATTTAGGAAATTTGGCAATTTTCTTGCTCGATTCCCTTCAAAACTTGGCAAGTGTTTAAACTAGCACTGGAAGATGATGCAGAATTATGACGTCATAATAACGCCAATAGAAGGCATGGACAGGACGACAAAGTTGAATTTTTCATAGTCCCGTACCTCTTGGACTGTTATTCCGTTCGGAATTAAACTTGGTGTGGACCCAAAGAGAGATGCCTTCTATTCTAACATTAGAATGACGTAATGATGACGTCACTACTTCTGTTTTTGTGTTTTTCCCCTCATTTGATCAAACTAGTTTTTAAGTCTCCGCTCAATAATACAAGGTTCCCAAAAAATCCTTTTTGAAAGACCTCGGGTAGGTGAAGTTCCTTAATGCGCAGCTTGTTCAGAAACTTCGTGACGTCATGATATTGTCTTTAAAACTACGATTCTTGATGTGCCTATAAGAGAACACGCGATTGCTGTGAATCTTGGTATACTCCATGTATATATTCACCATGACAAATCACGTGGTACTACCTTAAATTTGCATTCTTTACAGGCTAATTTTTCGGAAACTCACCATGGGGTCTAATTCAATGTCAGCATGTTTTTAGGTAGTGAATTCTGTTGTTAAAAGTTAGGAAAGCCTTGCGTTCTCTGCAAAACCGACGCAAACTCTAGTTTAATTCAACTTAGTTTCTCTGCGTTCTCTGCAAAACCGACGCAAACTCTAGTTTAATTCAAATTAGTTCAATATATCATAATAACACAATGACATTATTTTTGCATTGAAATCAATCCATGAGTTTTCTTTTTCTGATTCTGCAAAGTTTCAAATAACACTGTTCTTTTTTTAAAACTCCTTGTGATGCGCAAGCGTCTAAAAGCTGAAACTGGGGATTTGTGGGAGGCAGTGGGATCCTACCTCTGTTGGAGGTTTGTGACCAGGTTGGTTCCCTTGCAGGTTTATGTTGGAAGCCACCCATTCCTGAGTGATAGAATCCCCTGCCTCCCAGCTCAGAAACTTCTGCTCATAGGGCAGGCCAAATGCCTTGAAGACCGTCGACAGGATGGCTTTAGGATCTCGAAGGAGGTCATCGGCGTCAACGATGATCGCCTCTCGATCATGGGTCTCCTTCACGTAGTCGAAGAAGCTACTAACTTCTCCGAAGCTGTAACCCGGTGGAAACATCTGAGGGGGTAACTCGTCAAGCTTGAAGGCATCCTCAGATGCATTGACAAAGAACTGGAAAACCTTCTTCCAAGACGATAAGACCTTCAGTGGATGACGGATGAGGAGCACGTCGCAGTAACCGTTAGTGATGATGTATCGCTTATATTCGGGATTGCGTAAGTTATATCTTTGAAGAAAATGTACCTTTTATATAGGAACATATTTGGTGATTACAGTGCTGTAGCATCTCATCACAATTGTGATTCCTGTCAAAGATAGACTTCTAAATTACTTGTCGGAGCTCAGAGATGAAATACGTATCCAGTTTCGGGAATCTCAAAACTGAAACAATTGTACCTTCACATTCACCATCGTCATCGTGCATAGTCTTGGCCCAAAACGTGTTTAAACTCTTCCAGCAGTAGTTTGCCACAAACATAGTTTTTAATCCATGAAAATCGCTCATGTTGGCAGAGGAAAGCCATCTTGACGAATGCTACCGTTAGTACAGTTTTCTGATCCTAAATGAATATTCAGATCACCAGAAAATTTACGAACGTTGAGTGGTTCCTAGGAAAAGTTGGGGGAAAACAAAGAACACAATTATGCTAGTGCTGTAGAATTCTCAAGACGTTAGTGCGAGCTAGTGGATTTACGTCTTGGGCCAAGACTAGTTAAATAGATGAAACGATCTAGGGTCAAAGTTAAAAATACCATTGCGCAATCGAGACAAAAAAAACCACGGGCGATTCACGACGGGCGGCGCACGACGCACGACGGCAGATATGGAATTCCATACCTAAGGCTTGGGCGTTAGTCGCATCCATTCTTCTGAGCCGGCCTTAAGTAACCTGCGTTTAAGGCTTAAACGCACGTTTAAGACCAGCCAAGCACATATTTATTCCCTCATGTAACAAGCAATACACTGTGGCCGCACTTTATCAGAAAAACGACTAAGTCGGTCTGCTATTCTTCCATTGGACATCAGGCAGCAGATGGAGATGATAACGGATATATAATCGTACATTTTTACCGAGAACAAATTTGCTTTTGGTTTATTTATCAACTTGCACAACTATTACGGTCACCACCATTTTGTCCTTTGCACATAGGCTTACATAACTTTGTCGGGCGCCGCCTCTGCCCTGAACAGGTGGGACATATTGTACGTTGGGCTACACACCAATGGTACTTGGTCCATCCTATGGTTAGTAAACCTACATGTGCATGTAATTGGCATCAACTCAACACTCTTATAAGTGATGAACTAACTTTAGTGTCCATCAGCACACAAAACTGATGCGCCGCGGGACATACTTATCTCTCCAGTGAACTAACAAATGGACGGAAAAACATACGTAAATTATTAGGAACCAAGGACGAAGCTGCAACATCGTTCACCTTGCCTGTTTGTTTTTTTCAGCAGATTTTGTCAGATCTCATCGAATCATTTTGAAGAAGGTAGGACACTGTCATTTTCCTGTATAATGGGCTTAGATGACCATTTTGGGCATACAAGAGTGCTGTGAAAAGGAATACGGTTCATGTACATGTGTACAGCTAGTCTTGGTCAAGACGTTGTTGTTTTGTTGATATGCCAGAGGGCGCTCACAAGACGAATAGCTGAAAGGCGCAAACCACAACTAGCCACGCCAGCAACGTCTTGGGAAGTTGGTCAAATCCCCCCTCCCGATCTCAGCACGCATACATTACTTATGAAAACAGGCTTCTTCTTATTTTATGTTGACGCACGCGCATACACATTGAACAGCCACGATGAAGTTGCACGATAATTTGGTACAATCTTGCACAGCATGGCACTGGTCGAAAGTTGCGTCCGATTGCGGGTGTATGGTACAATAATACATGTACATGTACTTGCATGCCGGCCGGCTGGCCGGCCGGTCGACAATCCGACGCGAACGGATAGTCCCATTATCATGGCAGCTAAAGTGTCCGGACGTGGACTTTGCCCGCCAGCGTGGACCACACAAGTTCACGAAAAGGTCGTGGCTTCGAGCGAACTGTAGAAGAGCATTGCTTTTGGCTTTTCACACCGGGAATTTTGGAGAAACAAATTGCAAAGCATCATCAAAGTGTTCGCCCGTTTTGTTTTGTTTTTTTTTTGTAGCACGCAACCATGTACCGTGTTCCTAGCTCATTATATGTGTAGTTCGATGGTACAATGTACATGTACACATACAGAACTACATGTAGGTCTACATAGGCCTACACGTACATGTACATATACACATGTACCTAGTGAACATGTACATGTAAATGTACACTCGCGCACAAACAAGAGTCGGGGGAATAGACAGATCATGCACGGTGTACTTTTCAAGTATTATACATATTCAGTGAACAATTCAGCACGCATAATGTATTATGCTAATTATATGCGCGCGCACGATACAGATTTGCTAACTTTCAAAGTCGTCGTTGCTGTTGGCGTGGCTAATTATGGTTCGTGCGTTCCAGCTATTCGTCTTGTGAGCACCCTCTCGCGTATAAACAACACAACAACGTCTTGACAAAGACTAGTGTATACAGCTTAATCAGTGGTGGACAATAAATGCCCCGCATATCGAAAAAAGCAATGTATTTTCAACATTAATGATGGTGAAGGTAAAAAAAAAATGTGGTTTGGTCCATCACTACTATCCTCAGTTTCTCCCTCATCAGCTCTGTTGATTTCAACACAAACGGTGACAGCTAGGCGACAAAAGTATCACCAGCGACAGCAGTGGCGTAAACATGTTCCGGAAATTGGGGGTGGGGATGGGGAAAGGTAGGGGGATGACTTGCCCGGCCATAAAACTTTGAAGGTATGGAAACACTGAAACAAAAGCTGAAATGAGCTTTGAAGGTTTGTATTAAAACAAATCAACTGCAGATTCCCTTTAAGGATGATGGAAATTTAATTCATTTTAATTCAAGTGGTTTCTTGATCGGGTTTTTTTTTTGGGGGGGGGTTCTTTTACGAAAGATAGTTAGGTCGTATACGTTACTTTTAAACAGTACCATGTCATTTCATGGTGCATTTACGTTGTACGTAATGTGCCTAATAAGCCTTGTGTGTGACATACATGTACACGCTGTTTGTTGTGTGCACGGCTTGTGAGGCTATGGGTATTTTGCATCGGCGGGGCGTGAACACGAAATCTTTTTCCATGAATGCTTTCTAGACTTCAAGCAGTGTGCATCCCATGCAATTACACGTGCTGCAGTTCCACAGTATTTGTAATTATGCTGTTGGTGACGCTGTTTATCATGTTTGTTTCTATATTTGCAGGCCTATGTATTACACGTACGTTGTGTCCCATAGCCCCAACGGAAAAATTGATTTAGAACTGCGCATGCCCTTAACTGCTGCAGACAGCAGCGTTTTTTGCGCAAGCAGACTACGCTTTTCGTCGCTGTCGATAAACTGAAACAACGAATAAAAACAATGATTTTTACAAAATAAATGGTTTATTTAAATAAAAAACATATGTATAGATTAAGGTGTGTTCCTTACTTGCATGACATTTCGGAGAGAAAAACAGACAAGTGCAAGTAAATAAAATGTGAGTTTGTTGACTCACTTACCACGGCAAAAAAACATTAAAAAACGCGAATTTGATTGCAAAAATATCTTCAGTGATATCTCTCCATATTGAGTTTTCCTAGCGTAACGCACGGAGCCAAAACATAGCAAAAGTCCTGAAAAATCTTTTCCTGACATTCCACCTCTGCGACTTCACAATTATTCTCAAAATTTGAGTTTAAAAACACCGTTTACGACGCTCTTTTTAAAGAAGGCCGAGTGCCTTTTCAAATCAAATAGTACCATTTTTGCTCTAGGTATCGAAAATGCAAATGATGCACAGTTGTATTCAACCGAATACAGCAATGTTCTTACTCTTACCCTTGGTATCGATACTACCGATTACCAGTTGCACTGTAACTCGAATACATGCAAGTTACGGTGAACAGGATTATAGGTGGTCGGTGCACGGTGACGGCAACCTATACATAAATACTTTGAAGCTTGAACTGGAAACATCTTAGAAAACTTTGTGGGGCTTTCAGGAACAGAAATTCAAAATTCTGAGAAAAGATCAACAAAATCAAAGATTTGTTGCCCCCGTAAGGAAAAGGGAAGTGCTTGAAAGACATTCTGAGCTGAAGGTTTCAGTAAGTACATGTACAGTGACTCTTCAGTCCACTAGTATCCTGGGATGTAGAGTGAAAACAGGATTTCCATATGTCCCAAATTTAAAGAATAAGTTCACATTATACAGATATCCACAACTAGATTGTGTTGCTTAAAATAAAATGATATCACATTCCTGCGTACCCTCTGATGTTACAGCACCTGCAATGATTGTTATGCTTTACCTCAGCAGATCTATGATTGTAAAACCTCAAGCAAATCCTATTTTATTAGTTATCTGACAGTGAAAACTTTACAGCATGGATTCCTCCCAGTTGCCGGTATAGATCGCAGATCGGTAGTTTAGGTACTGGCTGCTGATGACCCGTGACAGCTCTACAGATCTATACAAACAAAATGCATTCAACAAATGGGAGACCTTGAGATACTTGATGGCAGTACATGTACCGCTCTCATGGCAGTGGTCCATGCACTAATGTTTATGTCATGTATAAGCAACAAATTTAGGCTCAAAATGACGTTAACAAGAGTGGACTGGTCACGATGGACTATATGTTTGCAGTCACTATAGGCTTTTTAAAAGTCTCATGCCATGACAAGGCAGCATGTTATGTGGAACGTTATAATGGTAAACCAGGACAGGGTTATTGCCACAGTTGTACATGTCTGTTATTGGTGTTGAGTGAATTTCTCCCCCTCCCCCATTTGGCTGTGAATTTTATTGAAAGACATTATACATTGGAAGGCAGTAGAAAAACACTTTATTTATGACTCTTAGAAAATCCTTACGTTGCATGTCAAGTTAGAAAATTTGTTCACATTATGCATGCCTACATAATACATGAGGTTTCCTATTATGCTTACTTTCCAAGAAGCCGTTTCCGCAGGTCCAAGTCCTAGTTGCGGGAAACAATGACACGTCAACCTATGGAAGCCACTCGCCAGAGGATGCCGTTGTTTCTCATTCCCCAGTTGCTCTAAGGCACGACGACTTACTATGGATTTGCATGCGGCCTAACATCAGTTCGATCAGCGATGAGGGAGTGTGCCCAGTTTTCGGACGCTAATTTTTCGACTTCAAGAGCAATTTAAAGTTAGGCCCCCCCAAAAAAAATAGTCGGTCTCCGGTCAGCGCGCGCGTCGATTTTGAACATGCACGTCAATTTTTTTCCATTTTTTCCTCAAAATTTTCAAATCAGCGCCCTCTATTTCCGCACCGCCTGAATGTTCGCTAGTAGACTGATTCCCGGCCACGAGTCCATAAATCGGAAGGGCAATTTGTTCGAGGAACCAGACTAATTCGTGAGTAGCTTGTACCCGGTGATAGATCCATTGCGACTGCTAAATGTTAATGTCGAACTCACACAGTAGACCATTGGTAGGTTACAAAGTTGCAGCCAGCTGACCAACAACAATGGCGGCGTGACGTGCGACGTACTACTACTAGCCTTTGCTCTTTGATTAAATATGCCACTCATTTCCTTGTCCGTTGCCAGTCTTAAAAAGCCAACCCCACCCCCCTTAAAAACCTTTTAAAAACTGCATCGATTCTGAAACTTTGGTCTGACTAGAGAGCGAGTGTTTTTTCTATTTGGAATACTTCAGATTTTCCAAAATGATTTATGAGGCATTTCGTGTGGAAACCCTATTCAACTACTTAACTCCAGGGATTTAGAGTTCATCAAAACAAAATCCGTGTGATATAAATCGTGAAGGAAATTGGAAACCGACGCAGTTCAGCATGAAGTATGCCACCACCCAGTACTAGATTAATTCGCAATTAAAAAAATTATCGAAGTCGCCGCGATGAAATTTGAAAGGAAGCTTGATCAACATCTGGACTACACGCGATATGTGTCCCTTTCTCAGGAAAACTCAATATTGGGTGAAATAAAGTAAAAAAAGAGGGGTGGTTTTGGGCCGTGTCCTTTTCTCAGGAAAACTCAATATTGGGTGAAATAAAGTAAAAAAAGGGGTGGTTTTAGGCCAGTTTCTTTAAAGGAAAAAAGTTACGGTTATAAAATCACGATTTTAATAATTCCAAACATATTGTAAATTTTTAAACAACAAGAATCCTTACATTTACTCCTTACATTAAAAGTCAAATTTTTACTTTGAATTGAAGTGGTCAACTTTTATAGCCCACTCGCCTTTTAATTGTGTCGCAGGGTTTGTCTATTTATGGAAATCCCCAAGTCTTCCAAACCGCTTCGACAGAATAATATAAAAAAAATTAAATAGTTGGTTTAGGTAGGATGTACAGTTCGAATTAATAGGAATTTAATTCGGTTAACTCACACTAACATTTCAAAAATATCAAAATTCAATAAGAACTAATTGGCAATTACTAATACAACAATGAACATGACACAATAGGAAGCTACTCATTGGACAATATAAGACTGACGATCAGGACGCTCCTTTCGAACACAGATCCACATCCCACGTGGGCGATCTCACCCAAACAGAACACTCGTCACTCGTCACTCGCCTTTTGCCAGTCATCTTAGCCGTCAGTCACAAACGTGATGCTGTATAGATCGTCATTAAGGTTTCGACATGTCTTACGACTTGGCAAAAACAATATGTGGCCGTTATCCACTTGTAAATCAAGCCAGTAAAATAATTTATATTTTGGAAAAATTCCACGTTGAAAAGCAAATAGTAGGTATGCCTCGTCGTCCCACTATGAGGAATGCATGGCTACCATTACAACAATGGGTGTATAACTCCAAGTGTGTTAAGAAATTCCTGTAGACTTGGAAATTGTTTTGCCAAACTGCTCAACTATGTGAATAAAAGTTAGGNAAAAAAAGATTTCCAATGTATGTTTGCAACTGATTGAGAAAAGCAAAATTTTCTTCCTGAAACTATAACTTGGAGCCCGAAACCTTGCAGGAATGAGGATGCTCGTGTCCGTGGTGCATTGTGAAGGTTCGTTTTTCTGGGGCGTAACATGCAGTGTGGGTCCATTTTATCTTCAAAATCATGGTGCTGAGAGAAAGTGCAAGAAGAGAAAAGGCAAGAATGAAAAAATTAAAGGGTATGGAGAAAAGAAGACATGGGGAAAGATTAAAACAGTCGTGTCTTATTGGGAAATCTCGCAACGACATCCCAATTCAAAATGATTTCAAAACAAAACCCACGACCAGATTGCTTTAATACTTGATATGAGATTCCTTAAATTCCCATGTTCCCACTGGTAAAGGAATGTTGGAGTCATGACCTAGGCCCTGCAGGAAGACAAAGTGACCCAAGTGCTGAAGCTTGGAAAGAACATTGTGTACACGAGGCTCCAGTGACTGTTAATAAAATTGCCGTTTGGTCATTCAGAGACGTCAGTGTCACTGTTTTTAATAATAGTTGTTGATTATTTTAACAGATGGCAGTGTGGAAAAAGTCTCCTCTTCATGAGCAGCAGGTTCGACTGATGATGTGGACTACCCCTCGCTCAGTTTCCACGGCCGTGACCAAGTGCCTGAGCTTTGTCCAAGACGCTCAAGTTTTGTGTGAACCGTTCACTGCCGCTCACCATGTGGGTCCTGACAGTAATTTTGATCACACTGGCGATACCGCCGAGGCTGCATTAAGGGAGACAGTTCCAGGGGTGGCTGAGACCGTCGGCTTTGATTCGTCACAGTGCACCTACAAGTGGGTAAAAGAACAACTTGAAAAAGCCCACACTGGTAAGAAGTTCATTTTCTGCAAGGACATGGCATACAGTGTCACAGGTCACTTTGAGTTCCTCCCGAAGGACTACAAGCACCTGTTCCTGATTCGCCATCCTCTGAAGGTCTTCCCTTCTTGGAAGAAGGTGTTCCAGCTTAATGTGGGTGTACCACTCGACAAGTACGAACTGGATAAGCTACCCGAAGTACTGTTTCCCAAAAATCAGGGCTACAAAGATATGAGTGATTTAATGGTGTACCTAAAGGAGGCCGATCAAGAGGTAATCGTAATTGACACCGATGATCTTCTTCAAGATCCTAGAGGCATCCTGTTGGCACTCTTCAATGTCATTGGCCTTCCATTTGAAGAGAACCTTCTGAGTTGGGAGGCAGGGAATGCCATTGCACAAGAATGGGTCATCTCGAAGGAATTCCTGATCCTTAACCAGGAGGGGCATTATTACAAGACCGCTTTTGAGAGCAAGTGCTTCCTGAAGCCCTCTGGCATGCCTAATCGCGCCTCCCTCTCCGCTGACCTCATCCGCTGTGTTGATGCCGCTATGCCGTACTATAAGAAGCTGTATACACAGCGTTTGACACCGGCTGAAAGCTAACGTTTCTCCACTACTGACGGGATGTTCTGTTCTCCTTAAGTGTTGTGTTGCTTACAAAATATTAATATTTTCCATCAATGTGAATTTATCTTTTTGTACGGAAGTGGTAATGATAATTATTTTAATACGAATGTGTTGTAAAAAATAATCAATTGAAGCAAAGTGTCCATTTGGCCAGTTGGTGCTTGATGTACAGCGATCGACATCTTGTGCTGCCCGGATGCCCAGTCCATGTTAGTATTTTGGGCTGCTTCTCTGATGTGTCAGAAACGGTAGGTAGAGTCGTCAACGAAAGTAAAGTATCGTCGGTAAATATCTGGGACGACTCTTTTATCTTCACTGAGATGCAGCAAGTGCTTGTCCCTTAGTTTTCAAACAGCATGATCAAATTCGATGAAAAGGTGGAGACCAGTCTGCCAAAAATACTTAGAAAAATGAGAACCTTTGTTTCCAAATTGTGATGCATGTGAAGACACCTGTTATGAGAAGCAATTTTCACGTGCGCAGTTAGTATTCAGTGCAGATATTGACGAAAAGTGCTTGTCAATCAACAAAACAGGTTCGGAAAATCTCGGTCTGTTTCGGGATATTTCGGAAACGGGAGGAATTCGTTCCCCGTTGTTGGTGACATGACACTGACGGCTGCGGGACTCTAAAATAGTTGGTATCTAATGGTTTGGAGACCTGTGCTTTCCACGCATAGCCTGTATTGCACATCCGCTATCATATAGATTAACTGCGACAAAATTGAACAATAAAGCTCCCCCTCGTCTCCGGTTTCTGGTCACCGCGCGCGTCTGCGAAATAAAGAAGTATTTTATTCTGCATAATTGATTTCCAAAAGCCGCCAAACTTACTTGATCAGCAGGAATTCTGCTACAGCGTAATTTTTAACGTGTTATTGATGGGTGGGATTGAGTAATATGTACGGTAAAGGAAACCCCCTAGGCCTCAATACATTTCAATCCGGCACTCTTATCAGATGACGTCATTCGTGTATCTTTACACGAAAGCCGTGTCCGAATCAGTTGGCTGTGGCTTGATATTATGCATGATTCTATGGGTACTGGCCGAGGATGCTGCCAAGTACTCGGTGTAATTTCCAGCCGTAGCCAACTGATTCGAACCCATCAGGCCCACGTCTGTGAACCGAACAACGAAGTGGTCTTGCGTCCTGCTTACGAGTACAAATTAAAAAGGTTTTTAAGCAACAAACCGTGAGGGCCAGCCTATTTCAGTGTCGTTGAGGCAGTAGCGGTACATACACATGCAGTGCATTTACTGACGATGGGCATCGTTATGACAACCATACATGTAACAACTCATGCATCGTCACAATCGTCAGGAACAAATGTAGGTTAAAGTGAGAGGAGATTTTATTTCTGAGCTGAATTTTTTCTGAATATTTTATATGCAACTTGTGTCCTCTAATCTACAGCAGAAAACAATGTGCAAAGAATGTCATATACCGCTACCTCATGAGAATTTCATTTAAAACCGGAAACTGGAGCTGAACAGTTATTTTCACATTTAATTTTGCCATGGTTGTGCTACTGCATTCAAGCTCAATCTTGATAAGAATAGACGCCTCTTATTTTCGTGAGGTGACTGAAACCATTGCCTCTCGTCATATTTTATTAATTCAAAGTTGTTAATTCACACTTCTCATAGTAACAAGGCCATGTGCTCTAAAGTATGTGTGCATGTACATCACGTCTGAGGGAAAAAAGAGGGGAAAAAACGCGTCACTGCACCACTTTTGGACCAAGCCCATGACCAGAAACCGGAGTCTTTTTTTCTTGGCCCAAGCCAAAAAAGTTTCCGGTTTCTGGTCGTCGCGCTCGTCGCCGTAGAATTGCGCATGGGCAAAATTAAAAAGTTTTTTATTGGATATAAAAGAGATGTTCAAAAGCTGCCACACTCTCTCAATCAACTGGAATCTTGCTTCTGCGTAATATTAACTTTTTTGACGGGGTAAGGTTGAGTAATATGTACAGTAAAAGAGTCCCTCCAGTTCCCATAGGCCTGCATTTAGTCGGGCACTCTTTTTCAGATGACGTCATTTCTGTATCTTAATACCAAAATAGACTGGGGCCCCTCACTTTTTAATGTTTAAAAGGATATGTAGCATGTCAAACTGAAAACGCTTTTGAATAGTAAAAAGTGCGGGAGCAGGCTATTTTAGTGTTGCTAGCGGCTGGCGTTACGTGTGCATGCAGTTGCGGTGGACATCGCGTGTTATACGTAGATAATTTCCCCCACTAAAAACCAAGTGAGGGTAAGACAAAAAGCTGCGTCGCTGCACCACTTTTGGCGACAGTTCCTGACTAGAACCAAAGACTTTTTTGGTGAGGCCTTACGTTCTCGACAGTGAATGGGATATTTATGCAGAATACACAGAGCATTTTCCTTTCATTCAGTTTTACGAAATGGTTAAACATTACATTGAAGCAGTCAAGGCCAGTATAAACGCTAGCCTTTTAATGTGATTTCAATACCGTATCATATGACTGTCACGCACCAGTACACACAACCTTAAACGATACTGTACATGTTCATGTATGTTCAGTACACACAACTACTCGATAAAATCGGCCCTTGAGTAGTACCTCGGCTTGTAAGGTAAGATAACTGAACAAAAATGGCAATTTGTATTCCGATGTGTTAAACTAAACTACATGGCGACAACGCTTGTATGTAGAAGTCATTGCAACCCTTGGCTGGTAAATCTCATCCTCGGCCCCGAAGGATAATGGACTTGCATTTGGGTTCTGATGTTAAAAAAGCATACCATACTACCATTGGCTATGAATGCAACGTACTGGCGGTTGTCATCATCAAATATTCTGTTAGCTTTGAAAGAAAGCAATAGTCGTATCACTTTTTTAAAAGAATTGTGCCAATAAGTAATTCCCCATTACACACGAGGACTGTAGAAAAACACCCTGACTCAGAAACAAAAGTACCAGACAGAAATAGGGCAATTTACCGCCCCTATTATTTTGTCAGCATAAAGATCATACAGTATTTGTTTCTATTTTCAATACAATTGAACCTTCTGAAAAGATCGATGTTGTCAAAGCTCTTTAGGGCTATCACAGTATTAAATTTAATTACATGTATTTTATTTCAGAATTTTCAGTTTTTTAATTTGAAATATCGTTATTTGTACTCTCAAATGCTGTTATTTTTTCAGGATTTTACAAAGTAATGTTTAAGTGGCGGCTTTGGCTCGTGTATGTACAAGAATAAAGAGGCGTTAATGTATGCCTCACGTAACACCAACACTATGAGTCGACACTATGGGTTGAACCTGTTGATCTGTTGGAAATAAGTTCTTATAACATCTTTCCAGATTTTGTTTGAAGAAACCAAATGCTATACTGCCAAAATGCCATTGAAGTTCATTGTACTTGTGCAGCTGCGGATACGCAGTCAGATAGACCTTTTTTATATGACCCATTTATACTGGCGGCCATTTTTGCAAAAAGATCAATCAGGGTTTGTGTTATGTTTTGCCTCAAAAATGCAACTTTATGTCCCATTGCATTTGGTAGCAGTATAAAGACGAACTTTGTATTGGAGTGTTATACAATAATACTAGTTTTTGTACTCCACCTTGAATACCAGAACAAATATTTCATATTAATTGAAATATAAAATGGAAACAAAGAGAATTATGGAAAGTGTTTGGAAGCAAAGGCAAAGGTTCTGATTCACATGTACACATCCCTTTGACACTAACCATTGTTTTGTTCGCTTTCCATTTGAAGTTTCAACAAGTTCTCATTTGACAGCAGAGTACAGACTGTCCGAAATGTTGATACTGGTTTCTATTTTTTTCAATTGTGATTTGTTCTCATCACATAACAGTGTGTTGAGTGTTAGTGTCAAAAGGCAAGTCTTTCACGCTTTAGCATTTTTTGAAGATTTTAATCTTGTACAGCTGCTTTTAATGACGTAGTCGAATACTGGCGATGCACAATAGTGCGCCTCCAAGAGTTTGCAACTCATTGCCCAATTATAATGGGCGAAAACTGTCGACCCAACGCGCGTTTGGAAAGGATCGACAGATTTCGTGCACTGTGACTGGTCAACGAGGTGCAAACTCTCCGAGGCGCACTTTTGCGAATCGCCCAGATTTTTTTAGGAAGCAAGCCTACGTGACAAATGTTAGTCGTTTATTACAAAATGAAATGGGAGTTTTAAAAAATTCAACAAAAAGGCTTGCTTTTTTTTCCTTTCAGACACTGATTAGGCAGCTGATGAAATGATAATGGATAAATCACTGTTTATTTTCATGGCAAAGAATATTTTTTTTAATCATATGCCATAATTGTTCCGGTCACCACCGTTTTGCCATTTACCCACATGTAATTACTGTGTGCGGCGCTGACTCACCTTGGATAATTGGGACGATGGTGGATATACACTGGGTCATGTGCGGATCATCATTGGTGTATGGTATGATCAGGGCACCTATTCAGAGTATCAGTTACACAACTCTGCATTAAATCATTGAAACAAACTTCACATGCATTAGCATGGGCGCGAATCCCTTGGGATGGGGGTATAAAGCTCTCCACTTTTTGAGAGTGTGGGATGGGCTTTGAATCATGCCCCCCCCTGTTGCGGTGAGCAAAAAATTTAAGTTTGATTGTGAATAATTCTTCAGACTTTTAACGACTAAAATATATTCAGTATCACTCAAACAGGGAATAAAATTTTAACAGCCATAAATACTGCATTCTGAATACATATTATAGAATGTACATTGATATCATGAATATCTCCCACTAAATAGAGTCATGTTGTGCCCCCCCCCCACTTTTCANTTTCACATTTTCATGTCATCCCCCCCCCCATTTCTCCACCCCCATCCCTACCCCACCCCCAATACCCGTCAAAAATTTACGCCACTACATCAGAGCACAAAACAATGTGTTGGGGGGCACACTTATCTGTCCCGTGAACTAACAAATGAAGGGAAAACATACGTAAATATACCTATAACATAATGACGTAATGCATTGTTTACCGCCGTGCATTGAGGGTGAAAGGTGGGGATGTTGCAGAAACGCGTTGATGTGACACGTTATGTGTAACGTATACTATATGGCGTGTGTATCGACCTGACACGAAAAAAAGAGAAAACAATTTAAAAATCCCGATTATCATCCGAAACGGTTCATGTTAACTGCTGTGTTCCATTGTGTTTATCAAGCACTCAACGAACGCCAGAGCTGCGTTTTTTTTAACTTCCACGGGACCGCAGGAGGCGACAGATTTGGATAAGTTCCGTGAGAAATAAGGCCATCAAAGCGAAGTCCAAGTGGACGGTATGCAGTCTACATTTTGTAGGCGGAGACAAAACTTACAATGTACCGGATCCAACGATTTTCCCATGGACAAGACACAATGGAACATAGCAGTTCATATGGACCATTTCGGACGATAATCGGGAATTTTTTAATTTTTTTTTTCGTGTCAGGTCGATACACACGCCATATAGCCTAGTATACGTTACACATAACGTGTCAGGTCCACACGTTCCTGCAACATCCCCACCTTTCACCCACAATGCACTGCGGTAAACAGTGCAATACGTCATTATGTTGTAGATCTTCTTTTAAATTTCTTAGTTCAGAACTCATCAAATCATACTTAGGAAGGAGCTCACCGAATTATATGGAAGAAGATAGGCCACAGACACCGTCATCCTATATGTAACTGGCTTAGCACTCGAGTATACGGAGACCGACTGGCCACTTTTTGGCTCACAAGACCCCTGTACATGATACATTGTAACCATATATAACTCTAATATAACATTAGAGGTTAACAGTAGTGAACGATATCGTTATGTAGCATTAGTGACTGCAAAGAGATGCAAAATGAGTAACCTGCATATTGATAAAAGCGAAGTATTTTCAACACCTACCCCTAAGATGGCAGCCAAGCAAAGGTTTCTTTGGCTTGTCTTTGAAATGTACAATTTACAAGCCACAGAATTTATGACAAATATTTGGGGGGGGCTTTCACTTTTAAGTTACAATGGGCATTTTGAATGGCATTTCATATCATCACAGTCTAAAAAAATGTACTTTTACCCTCAAATGGTTTGATAACCTTTCATTTCCTTTCCAAGTTTCCTTTATGAATGATTAAAAATCAGAACTCAGTCTGGTCTTAGAGATAAGGACAAGTCGCCCGAAGCACTCGTTCTTTGTCGGTTATCTTAGCCGTCAGTCACAAACGTGATGCGGTATAGATCGTTAATAAGGTTTGACATGTTTATAGGGACTTGGAAAAAACAATAGCTGGCTTTAATTCATTTAAAATCAAGCCGCTCAATTAAAAAATTTTGTTTCCGCGTAGCAAATAGAACATATGCCTCGTCGTCCCTCTTGTGAAAAACACTTGCTAC